GGCATCACATGTAGGAGGCCTGATTCCTAATAAAGGTCAAGGTACAAATGAGGCTAGCAGGACCATAAGTCAGACAGCAGGAGGCATCCTGGCAATTGAGACACTGTCAGTGTGAATTCCCACATCAAAGGTGAGCAGCTAAGTTGTTTTCAACAACCTAGCGAATTTATCTCATAGTGAAAGAACACAAAAACAATCCCCAACCAGATACTACTTTTTATTTTCAAGCATTTTGAAATTTTCCGTTAAGTGAACTTCACAAGTTTGCAAGTGTTCTGCTGGTTAAAACCAACCAATCAACAAACAGATAGCTGACAGTCATTTGGAAACTAAGAATTTAAACTATATGATTCTATTTAAAATCTTCATGTTTACTCCAGAAGGCAGGATTGGAGGTTCTGAACTCAGGAATGGCTGTGGGCACCTAGAAGGTGCCCCCCATCTCCTTAGAAGGTCTTTTCAGTGACTCTCCTATGTACCTTTCATCAGAATAATCTGAGTTCATATAAAACTGCATCTGTGTGAACCGCAGCCATTCCAAAGCTGACTGGCCTGTGTTCTCCAATTTCAAATCCAAAGACACAGCAGAGAATAACATTTTTCCTTATTAAAGGGAATAGGGACCCAAGGGGCTCCAACCTAAGTAGTATCCTTCCTGCTAGAGAGTGAGTGAGATCTCACTCTTCTCTGGTTTCCTATAATAAAATTTTCTATTTGATACAATGCATACATATTATATAACCTGCATTTTGGAGACTTTTCATTATGGAAACAAATATAGCATGAGTGAATTTCTATTGCCAGATCACTCTGGTGATTACACCTATCTTAAAGAAACTGAAATCTGCTACTTTATGAGTCAGTGAAATGTCCACCAAATAGATGAAAACAATGATGTACATGTATTCTAAAACTTACTAAATAATGGGTCAATAATATATTGGTATTTTTCTTAAAAGTTCAGAAAGAAATCTTGGTTGCCTGGTTACACGCAGACCTAATATGGGAGTGTAAATACGTACACATCAGTCCACACATTCAAAATTTTCAACTCAACGAGTGAGCCCAAAATGAAAAAGAATTTGTGGCCAGGATATCATTGAATCCTGTCCAGCACCTGCTTTAGCATCAAATTCTGTTCATTTTCCATTTTCCAATCTAATAAGGATTTGAAGCTAAAGGGCTCTCAGTGTGAGCCTGGTGGCTCAGCCAGTAAAGAATTCGCCTGTAATGCAGGAGATGGAAGAAACGTGGGTTCAATCCCTGGGTCGGGAAGATCCCCTGGAAAAAGAAATGGCAACCCACTCCAGTATTCTTGCCTGGAGAATCCCATGGACAGAGCCTGGTGGGCTCCAGTCAGGGGTTGCAAAGAGTAGTACACGACTGAGCGACTAAGCACACCGCAAGTGTGGGCCTAAGAAACAGATACGCTGAACATTTTTCACCACACGTAAGATAACCTCATTAATTCAATCGTGTGTGTTAGTTGGTTAATGTGGACTCTTTAAGAGTTCATCAGTGCATGCTGTGGGTCAATGTTTTATCTCTAAACATATTGTGGCTCACTGCACTCCACTGAAATGAAAGGTCACAGGTTCCTTTCTGTATTCTGTATCATATGTGTAATGCATATAACACAGAAAACAAACTAAAACAAGGAGTGCAGTATTTTGTTGACTATATGTTTTCTTTTTCTCTTTAATGTTAGCTCGCTGTAGTTGTTGGAAACATGCATTTGCTACTTAATTCAAAGCACCCTGAGCACTCCTGATTTCTTAAAGCTAAATTTCCAAGATTTCCAGATTCAGGATGGCCTCTGGTAAGAATATTTTATCTTTATTTTTAAATTTTTATTATTTTTTTTGCCCACACTGTGTGGCATGCAGGAGCTTAGCTCTCCATTCAAGGATGCAACCTGTACCCCCTTGCATTGGGAGAAGAGTCTCAACCACAAGACCACCAGGGAAGTCCCAAGAACACTTTATCTCTAAATGATGCATTTACCCTACATGATCCAAAGATGATCAGCACAGAATTCATTAGTTATTCACTAGTAATTAATGTAATCCAATAATCCAAAAATTTTCATGCATCATTAAAAGGACACAAAAGTAATTTGCATGTGAATATATTCATTTCTTGCTCAAAAAAGGTATTTACAGAGTCTCCACCCAGCATAGGTCTCTAGCAAGAATAAAAGAATAAAAAAGGACTACAAGCTCAACTTGACAAATGATTCAATTATGTAATAAGATCACTATAATTTTATTGATTTCATCTTGAGAACAAAAATGATCAGTAGGGATTGATTAAAAAAACCAAAGGAAAGTCATTTCACAGGGCTGTTACAGAGGTAATCCTGAGTAGTTTGAAAGGGTGAATTAGAATGACCTTCTACTTTAAGAGTTTCTAGGATGAACCTTCCTTGAATATTCCCATCCTTTTCATTCCAGAACCGTATGAAAAAGGAAAAAGATAGGACGCTGAAAGACAAACTCTCCAGATCAGTAGGTGCCCAATATGCTACTGGAGATCAGTGGAGAAATAGCTCCAGAAAGAATGAAGAGGTAGAGCCAAAGCAAAATCAACACTCAGTTGTGGATGTGACTGGTGATGAAAGTAAAGTCCGATGCTGTAAAGAGCAATATTGCATAGGAACCTGGAATGTTAGGTCCACGAATCAAGGCAAATTGGAAGCGGTCAAACAGGAGATGGCAAGAGTGAACATCGACATTTTAGGAATCAGTGAACTAAAATGGACTGGAATGGGTGAATTTAACTCAGATGAACAGTATACATACTACTGTGGGCAAGAATCCCTTAGAAGAAATGGAGTAGCCATCATAGTCAAGAAAAGAGTCCGAGATGCAGTACTTGGATGCAATCTCAAAAACGACAATGACCTCTGTTTGTTTCCAAGGCGAACCATTCAATATCACAGTAATCCAAGTCAAAGCCCCGACCAGTAATGCCGAAGAAGCTGAAGCTGAATGGTTCTATGAAGACCTACAAGACCTAGAACTAACACCCCAAAAAGATGTCCTTTTCATTATAGGGGACTGGAATGCAAAAGTAGGAAGTCAAGTAACACCTGGAGTAACAGGCAAATTTGGCCTTGGGAGTACAGAATGAAGCAGGGCAAAGGCTAATAAGAGTTTTGCACTGGTCATAGCAAACACCCTCTTCCAACAACACAAGAGAAGACTCCATACATGGACATCACCAGACAGTCAATACCGAAATCAGACAGATTACATTCTTTGCAGCCAAAGATGGAGAAGCTCTATTCAATCAGCAAAAACAAGACCTGGAGCTGACTGTGCCTCAGATGAACTCCTTATTGCCAAATTCAGACTTAAATTGAAGAAAGCAGGAAAACCCACTAGACCATTTTGGTATGACCTAAATCAAATCCCTTAGGATTACAGTGGAAATGAGAAATAGATTCAAGGGATCAGATCTGATAAGAGTGCCTGATGAACTATGGATGGAGGTTCATGACATTGTACAGGAGGCAGTGATCAAGACAATCCCCAAGAAAAAGAAATGCAAAAAGGCAAAATAGTTGTCTGAGGAGGGCTTACAAATAGCTGAGAAAAGAGAAGAGAAAGGCAAAGAAGAAAAGGAAAGATATACCCATTTGAATGCAGAGTTCCAAAGAATAGCAAGGAGAGGTAAGAAAGCCTTCCTCAGTGATCAATGCAAAGAAATAGAGGAAAACAATAGAATGGGAAAGACTAGAGATCTCTTCAAGAAAATTAGAGATACCAAGGGAACATTTCATGCAAAGATGGGCACAATAAAGGACAGAAATGGTATGGACCTAACAGAAGCAGAAGATATTAAGAAGAGGTGGCAAGAATACACAGAGGAACTGTACAAAAAAGATCTTCATGACCCAGATAATCACAATGGTGTGATCACTCACCTAGAATCAGACATCCTGGAATACAAAGTCAAGTGGGTCTTAGGAAGCATCACTCTGAACAAATCTAGTGGAGGTGATGGAATTTCAGTTGAGCTATTTCAAATCCTAAAAGACGGTGCTGTGAAAGTGCTATACTCAGTATGCCAGCAAATTTGGAAAACTCAGTAGTGGCCACAGGACTGGAAAAGGTCTGTTTTCATTCAAATCCCAAAGAAAGGCAATGCCAAAGAATGCTTAAACTACCCCACAATGGCACTCATCTCACACGCTAGCAAAGTAATGCTTAAAAATCTCCAAGCCAGGCTTCAACAGTACGTGAACCATGAACTTCCAGATGTTCAAGCTGATTTTAGAAAAGGCAGAGGAACCAGAGATCAAATTTCCAACATCCGCTGAATCATCAAAAAAGCAAGAGAGTTTCAGAAAAACATCTATTTCTGCTTTAGTGACTATGCCAAAGCCTTGGACTGTGTGGATTACAATAAACTGTGGAAAATTCTGAAAGAGATGGGTATACCAGACCACCTGACTTGCCTCTTGAGAAACCTATATGCAAGTGAGGAAGCAACAGTTAGAATTGGACATGGAACAACAGACTGGTTCCAAATAGGAAAAGGAGTACGTCAAGGCTGTATATTGTCACCCTGCTTATTTAACTTCTATGCAGAGTACATCATGAGAAATGCTGGACTGGATGAAGCACAAACTGGAATCAAGACTGCTGGCAGAAATATCAATAACCTCAGATATGCAGATGACACCACACTTATGGCAGAAAGAGAAGAAAAATTAAAGAGCCTCTTGATGAAAGTGAAAGAGAAGAGTGAAGAAGTTGGCTTAAAACTCAACATTCAGGAAACTAAGATCATGGCATTTGGCTCCATTACTTCATGGCAAATAGATGAAGAAACAATGGAAACAGTGACAGACTATTTTTTGGAGCTCCAAAATCACTGCAGATGGTGACTGCAGCCATGAAATTAAAAGACGCTTGCTCCTTGCAAGAAAAGTTTTGATCAACCTAGATAGCATATTAAAAAGCAGAGACATTACTTTGCCAACAAATGTCTGTCTAGTCAAAGCTATGGTATTTCCAGTAGTCATGTATGGATGTGAGAGTTGGACTATAAAGAAAGCTAAGTGCTGAAGAATTGATGCTTTGAATGTGGTGTTGGAGAAGATTCTTGAGAATCCCTTTGACAGCTAACCAGTCCATCCTAAACGAAATCAGTCCTGAATATTCATTGGAAGGACTGATATAGAAGCTGAAATTCCAAAACTCTGGCCACCTGATGAGAAGAACTGACTCATCTGAAAAGACCCTGATGCTGGGAAAGATTGAAGGCAGGAGGAGAAGGGGACGACAGAGGATGAGATGGTTGGATGGCATCACCGACTCAATGGACGTGAGTTTGAGTAAACTCTGGGAGTTGGTGATAGACAGGGAAGCCTGGTGTGCTGCAGTCCATGGGGTCACAAAGAGTTGGACGTGATTGAGCAACTGAACTGAACTTTCACTCCTGCTCATGCAGGCTTTAACTGATAATGACCAAGGTAAGAATTTGAGGTGTAAATTTTCATACTCGTTAGCCAAAATCAATCAATTGGAAAAATGATTCAACATCCACTGTTACACAGAATATTCAGAAATGATCACTGGGAGAAAAGCCCAGTGAACAATTTAGCATCCTCAAAAGTAAAGGGCTGGCACTGTGAAGCCTCAGTTGGAAAAACCACTGCTAGGAGCCCTGATCCAGTGCCAATTATTTATTTTTTAACCTGGACAGCTGAAATAGGTGGAGACTAAACTAGAAAAAGTCTTGAGAAGTATCTGTTTATATTTTACTGTCAAGATCCCAGAATTTCAAATTTAAAAATATGACATTTAATCAATGGCAATCGAGTCTGACATTCAGGCTTGATTCTCAGATGAATTTCCCATAATTCTTAAGTCATTAATCTTGGTTGGTGAGCAACTCTTCTAACTTCCCCAGCTAATGGAGAAATCATGAACATTTACTACGAGTTACAGGAAACTTGCAAGTTGAAACATGAACATCTTCAGCAGAAATCTTCCCACTGAGATGTAAGCTTCAACTTAAGACACTGTTAATAAAGCGCATGTGGACAGTCAAGAATAACTCAGATCTTTCCAGAAATAGAAGACATTTCAAAAGCACCTATCTGACCTGCTTCAGCATCCGAGGGGACAAAGAATGGGAAGGTTCACATGGCTGACTGGTTCAGCTCTTTTCCATTCTCCCAAACTTATTTACAGGTCTCAGGTTTCTACTTCTTCAAGGGGCAAAGGGGACAAGTATATGGAAAAACAAAAAGCAAATCTAGTTTGTAGCCTAGTCTCATGATCAATTAATTTCATAACGACAGCATGGAGTGCTCGGACCTAAGATTTTTAAAATTACTTGAGTACTTTTTAAAAGTACTTAGACCCCAAACCCAGTGGTTGGAACTGTAACAAGGTGTTCTTTTCTATTGTTCTCAGGGGAAACTGTGTAAGGATAGTTAATTTTTCAAGACTTTATGAATGAAATTTGTTAACAGCAAATTCTAAAGGAAAAAATAATCTACTTGGAAAATTCCATTCCAGCAGGATTTTCCTACTCATTCCAATAAATTAAATTTTGCCATGAGAAAAGAATGCAATAAAAACAGGGTTCAAGTAAATTAGGTTAGGCGAACAAATACCAGCAAATGAGTGACTGTGGAGGTACGCAAGGTGGGACAGGATTTACCTAAAGGAAGCATGTTTCCTGTGCAAACAGACGTGTACACACACAGCTGTGCACTCATATGAATTTTTAAAGTGTGCATGTGGGGGAAGGCTCAACACCATCAAACACCAGCACAGAAATCTCATCTGTTTGCATTTCTACAAAGGAAAGGATCTAACACACGTTACACACCCACCGACACTCATGCATGAGGACCAGGGTGGCCTACTCGGGCTCAGATCCAGAGAAGCCTTCTAGAATTGCCGGTTTTAGAGGAATGATTAGTATCTTCGGGATCACACTTCCTTTTGATGAACAGAATTTTTATCTTGTGTTTCCTTCCTGAAATGCACCCTTTTCAACAGCATGAAATCAAGTCTGGGAGGAACTCATCTTAATTCCTCATTAGACATGACTCAGAACAGGAACTACAGGAATCGAAGTAGCAATAGCATGGCCCCTTTGGGAAGTTATTTCTGGATTTACTGAGAAGTGGTTTGGGATTAAAACAGTTTCTGGGCAAACAACAGAAAGCAGAATTCTGGGTGGAGGTGAAGATGGACACGCTCACTGAAAGTCCAGAAATCAATATAAACAAAAGCAATGAGCATAATTTAAAGGAGTTTCAATTAAGTATCACCTTGACTGAGTTTGTTGACTCAAGAAGTTCTGCTCTGACTCATGGAACTGAAAGAGAATAATTGATATGAATCTTCTCAGGAAGGCTCAGCTGGGAGTGATGTGGTGGGTATTGAGGGTAGGGTAGAGACAGAGGCCTGAGGCTCAGGCATGGCTCCTAAGGTTTCTGTTTGCCTGATTTCGAAGGAAAGGGTGCTAAAGCAAAAGGATCAGCAGCTGGCAGCTCCGTAGTCCTGGAGGAAAGGGATGTGATGGAAACGGAGCCAGCTATTGACTGCTTATTGGTTTGCGAAACAATTTTGTAGGCAGCGATGGGCTGGGCTTCTGGATTCGGCTCATCTTCGGGGCTATAGTGACGGGAATATTTGGATAAAGACTGGGGGCGGAATGGTTTGCCTGCCACGGGACCCGAGACAGCTTCTTTCTGGGGCTGAGGTCCTTTGTTTCTGTCATTAGCATGGGCCCCAGATTCCAGGGAGGAACCCCTGGAAGAGATGCTGTCAAGATGGTCTGCTGCTTGTACAGGGTGGGAGGGGAGGTTAGACGGCTGGGCAAAGCCAGCCATGGAATACTGAGCTCGGATGGACGGGTACACAGCTCGATCGAGGCCCAGGAGCAGAGGGATGTCATCGGTCTGACTCGGGAGACCGGGCTGCTCCTGGGCGGGGCTCTGGGCAACTGTTGACTCCTCCATGCCTTTCTTCTTGGTAAAGGGAGCTCTCAAGAACACATCCGTCTCCTCTGGCTGGGAAGGGGCCACGCTGCCCTTGGAGACAAAGGGGGCTTTGGCAAAAATGTCCATGTCATCAGCGGGAACCCTTGAGCTCCTGAAGGGGGCAGTGGCAAACACATCTGGCTCACCGAGTCCATCAGCAGTTGGCCCAGTGAGGGATCCAAATTGGTTCTTCCTCCCACCTTGCAAGACCTTGGCCTGCGCAGGAGTCACCTCTGGCTGAGCGAAGGGAGTGGCTCCTCCTAGCTTGCCCTGCGGGGGCTTGCCGCCCTCATCCTCTTCTTCTGACTCCAGGAGCAGAGGGCGGGAGCCACTGCAGTCCAGCATGTCGCCCTCGAGGTCGGTCCCCTCCTCTTCACTGCTGTGGAGCGAGCTGTTGCTGGAAGGGCCGTCTCGGGCCAGGTAGTCAGATTCTAAACTGTTCTGAGTTCTCGTGCCAGGTACCCGGGAGGGGTCCGGGTACAGAGGAAGGCCTTTAACACCCGCTGATTCTTTAAAGTGCTCTACAGTTATTACAGGAGAGGGAATGGGCTCTCTCTGGAGACCTAGAAAAGCACAAAAGGCAGAATTAATGCACTGGTCCGTTCAACGCTCCTTGGAACACTCAATGGTCAACCCGCGGCAGGAACATTGTGGGACCAAATAATGGATGTTGAAAATGGGAAAAGGAAAAACAGAACAAGAAAAGTCAGGCAAGGAAACGGCACACAAATTGGAACACAACCAATCACGGTCTCACATTTCGGAACACGAGGAACAATGTGGAGGAAAGGGGATGAAGGTGTTAGGCACACAACATTCAGTGTCAACTATGCAATGCTCCTGCGCACGTGGGGCCAGGCACTGACACCCGCTCTACCTGACTGGCTCTGGATGGAATGAAAAACCCAGGCCCTCATCTCCACATCTACTGTAACAGTTCTGGCTGATGCAGAGATACCATCCGGGGACAAACTCAGTTCAGATCTGACGTGTGGTCACCTGCTCCCCCCTGCCTGTGTCTGAGAACTGCACCTCCTCCCTTGAAAAAAAGCAGCAGAACATGGCTGCTTGATAAATACACAATTACTTGATGATTGACATCATACGCACTACTCAAAGAGTACAAGAGTGCCCCAAATATGAATGCTGAAGGCACTTTTCAAAGGGGAGGAGACATAATCAATATCACATTAAACAAATCACCTTCAGCTGGAGTTGCCCTGGAATTTTGCTTTCAGTCTTCCAAGTTAGCAAAGATCTCCTCTGCTTAAATGAATCCACCATAAGCTTCTTTAAGCAAAAGGAGGAAAGTGCACAGGTAATTACAGAAGTATTTGCAAACTCTAATATGCTAATAGATTTCTATCTAGGTAGAGGTGCCTCAGGGTGCTCTGGCTTTCAAAATCAAACAGACAATTATCAGAATGTAAGAGAGCTTACCTTCCAAAAATATTAGCAGGTTAGAAGTATGTCATTGGGCACATGTTAGCAAGAGGGCAGGAAAAAGGCATATGTAACTAAGCAAGAAGAATCCAGAGAAAAGGGTGATTGGGGGCAGAGGTATCATGTCATCATGGGTTTCCCAACCCACCAGGGGAAGAAGTTACAGGTACCATGATTTGGATTCTATAGATGACTCAGAACCTCTGTACAGAGGTAATTCAATCATCCTCTCCCCACATTACCCTCTCCCCTTCTATGCAAACCATTAGGTAGTAGAAACATCTGCTAACGATTTTCCCCTGCTAAAAGTTTCTGCTTGAATTAAGCACACAGAACACAGCAGAAGCAGCATCAAAATCAATTTATTGGGAAACCAGTTTACTCAGAAACATTACATTGTAAAGAGATGTAGAGAGCGATCTGAACATTTTAGGAGATATTGTACAAAAATACTATGTTTCTCTGAATCCTGTAATTTTTTTAGCAGTACTTATTTTTTATTTTAGTGCTTCTTTTTAAACAGTTCTGACCTTAAGTATTATTTTTGGAAACAAATGTCCCCCCCCCACCCCCACCCCTTCTCTTTCTAAAACTGTGAATGTATTTGGTAAATTCCAATTTAGGGAGTCTTTAAGTTAAACTCTGTACTGGTGCCAAAAGACTTTCTGAATAGTTTTTGAAGAGGATAAATGTTTCCTATAACTGTAACTTTGATATGTGCACCTACATATTAGTCAGGGAACAGGAAATAAATGGAATACCTTCTCCCTTGCAATATATGTGGAGGGACATAACTCTGACCTCTCAAGCAAGCATACTGATATTAGATCTGTCACAATGATCCCCAGATGATGGTATCTGGGAGGAAATTCAAAATGCAATAGGGCAGGGAAGTTTTCCAAAATAAGATCTGCTAAGCAAAGTGCTACGAACCACCCCTTCCAAACTCCTTGAACCGCTTTCTAACATAGTATCAGTTGGACAAAGTTTTTAGTTCTCAAAACTAAGGCATGGCTTCTCATCTCCGAAAACAACCCTAAGTGCTGATGCAGTTCTGTGAGAGAGCAATATATCTTAGGAAAGAACTGACACAGTTAGTCAAGCCAATGATGAACTCTGGGTCCACCGTATGGACCAATAATGAAAATGAGCACTAGTTTGACTGGAGCTAGAGTTTTGGGGAAACTTTAATGGAATGCAGTCAAATCAAACTGTAAGCACAAACCTCCAAAAAGCAGTTTGCTATAGAACGTGGGGCGTCTTGGATGCCTGCAGAATTAGATGACATTTTGAGAGCTGGAAGGTACCAAGTAGGGGTGCCCATGTCCAGAGTTGGAGAGGCTGGAAGGGCATTCCTAGCCTATATAAACTATTTATGTTAAAAAGCGAGTTCTTGGTCAAGTCAACTGTAAATCTGCTAACTTCGAGCATATTCTATGACTTTCATAGTGAATAATAGGAAAATCATACCTAAAGGTTGCAACAACTTTTAAAAAATGTACATAGTCACAAAAATACTATAACATTAAGTCTGACAGGAGAACTAGTCTCCAGTTCTTCAAAACAAGACCAGATCTATTTGATCTCTGAGCATGAAACTGCTCTATAGGATTGGAAAAGTACATTTAAAGGATTCTCCTGAAAAGGCTGGATCTGTTAACCTTTCCATTCTTTTTAGAGGAGGTGCAGTATGACCAAGGCTGAGAGCAACTGCCCTTTGCAACTCTCCAAGCCCGGCATTCTGGAGACCAGAGACACGCGGTGGGTATGGGGTGCGCAGACATCCACATCCCCGCAGGGAATTTTGGTGGTGGCAGCACAAGAAACAAAGCAGTCAAGAGAAGGAGGAATTCTAAATAACTGTAAACAGAAGACAGACATTAAATCTTGTTGGTGGTTAGAGGGTTTCATTTTTTTTTTTTCTTAATATGAATGTGTTATTGTAGGAAGGGAAAGCAAGTGTTTACAGGGTGAACAGTCCTTATATGTGAAGATAGCTTTGTACTGTGAGAAAAACATGTTGGAAGCCATCTGCCTATGAGCGATGAAAGATTTACACTAATTTAACCTCAGTGTCTTGGCCCATTTCCTTTGCAAACCAATGGCTATGCATAGCAGATGCCCTGTGACCATAAAACTCAAAAAGGTAGCCAGTTGTTCTGTGGTGTGGGGTGATGGGGCGGGGTGGCTGAGCTAAACCCCAGGACCTGACCTCACAGGGTCAGGGTCTCCCTTATCAAGCATAAGGATCCTCCTTACCATGAAGTTTAAGGTGGGGCATTTTGTTCTAATTCTCTCAAATTAAGTCATGTCTCTCTCTCTCTCTTTTGGTTTAGCACATTAAATTAAGCAAGAAGTCAAAATACACTTCTTTTTCTTGCTTTGATGTAGGGACTATATGAGAGGTTAAGGCTCCAATGCTTCCACCAGGGATAACTCCATTTTAGTCTATTTTGAGGCTTCAAACTACATCAATTTCAGTAAAGAGCTTATATGCTTTGAAGGAAAGGCATACTCACAAGTATCTGATGATTTTGCAAAGACTCTCACCAATTCCCTCTTAATTTCCCAAGCAACTCAAAGTGCTGAATGATTCAGAATAGGTTACCCCTGGGAATTTTATCTGATGGACACAGTGAAGGCCAGTGTTCCCTTAAAAAAGAAAAATCGAAATCTGAAGACTGCAATTTCAGGCTGGATCTTCCTGAGAGCCATATACTATAGGTGACCAGAATTTCACTTTCTCCCATACTATAAAGTGAAATAACAATTAGAAGAAGCATCAGAGACATACTTCTTGCCCTAAACTGGAAATGAAGACTTGAGAGTATTGGAAAACCTTCTTATTCAGTTAGTTAGCAAATAGCAAAATACATCCCTTCCCAAGAACTTCAGAAATGCAGCACCAAATGAAATCTATTTCACAGTTGAATCAGGGCATCAGGAGAATGTACTTCAAAAGCATAATTTCCATGACCTTTTGCTTAGATAATAAGATCAAGCATTTGGTTCTACCATATGCTGTGGAGTTGCACTAAAACCCACACCTGGGAGCCAACACTGGCTAGCGATGCTGTTTCTCTCAAGCCAATGGAGCAATTAAATGACAGAGATTTCTCCTTGGGCATAAAACTGCTGTTGCCAACACAAAATGTTTAATTAAATTGGCCTGGGTGCATCAAAGATTAAATTCAAGGATGGTAGCTGCAAATATGTGCTCCTTTTTACAACTCTACGTCTGGTCATATCAAATGCAGGCTCACAGGGGTTTTCATCTCCATGACCGCAGGTGAAGCCAGGGTAGCCAGGACTCATTACAACGTCCTCGGCACATCTCTCAGATGTGTCTGCACAGTACTCGTGCACAGGTGCTTACCGTCACTCAAGAATGTGTTTAAATCCTTTTTGTAAAAGTGGGTTTTCAGATCAGGAAAGAGCAGTTATTGTAGGTTATTTATAGCTCTGAACATCATGCTCCCCGTTGAACAGATAAAAGTCTTTATTTTTCTGTATGTTTACATAAGAAATTTGTTTACAGACTTGTTTTTTTATACAATACTTGCGTAGCAATGTTCTAATTTCACATTTTTTACTGTATAAGATAGCTTCGTGTACCTCTGTTTGCTTTGTCTTCTTGGGGAGGACAAGAAAAAGGTCTATGGTAAATACACATACACTTGACGAGGGGGGTGTGCAACAGGGCAGAGGAGACTCCCAGGGAAAGAGTGAACTGGGGCCACTACATCAGAGTGGGAACCAAGGCGACACCTTCCATTCTAGCAACACCATCAGTTGGTAATTCTGCATAGATCAGCTCTGACCCAGAACCTCTCTCCCTGATCATCATGAAAGGAAACCCAAGAGAAACAAAATAGTATCATGTTACAGTTACTTGAAATGGAGGCCATCTGGGATTCATTCTGACTCAAGAAATCCAAGCACATTCAGCTCCAGGAGCATTACTAGTGGGGAAAAGGAAAAGGCTAACTTTGTGTTGGTAAACTAGTCTCTTGAGAGGAATAAAAGATAGCTTTGTAATATCTGGAGTGTTTCAGCAAAGGTACCATGTTAAATATCCATCTAACAACTTCTCTATCTGGCAGCCTCTGATTAGCTGAAT